TGATGATCAACCAGGCAGAATTCAGAAAGTGTTTAGGGTTTAGGGTTATCTAAGACTTCATGTATTTCTTTGTGTTGCTCACAGGTTGTATTTCGGCAGGATTTACTCGATAAAGAATTCAAAGAAGATTGCGAGAAATACTTGAAAAAGAAACAGCACAAACCCAGAAAACACACACGTTCGGCTGCAGAGACATCTCCACAAGCCCCAAAATACCATCCATATACAGATGCATGCACAGAACAGGGGGCCCCCCGGGAGGCCTTGCAAAGGGGCCCCAGAGTGAGCAGCTTGGGGGCCCCCTCCGACGGGGGCGTTCCTAGGGGCCCCTGGTGGGGCCCCTCGCCCGTAACCGAGAACGGCAGCGGCGTTTCAGGGGGGCCAATTGCATGCGGGCCTTCTCTAGATTATCCTTGTGGGGGGCCGCCCCAGGCACCTTCGAACCTCAGCTCAAGTAGGGGGCCCCTTGAATATCTCCGGCAGCAGCTACGGCAGCAGAAACGTTCAAAGGCGAGAGCGGAGGAGATTGCACAGAGGGATCCGCTGCGGGCTTGGCGTGGGGCCCCACAGGGTACAGCACTGGGGGCCCAGGGGGCCCCCGAGCAGAGATCAGAGGGAGAATGGGGTTGTGCAGTGATGCAGAGAGCGGCAAAGCTATGGAGAAGCAGCACAAGGGGAGAACAGGGGGAGTGGGGGGGCGGAGAGAAACACGGGGGGAGAGAAGGGGTCACTGACACCGACAGCGAGAGCGAGAGCGAGAGAGAGAAAGAGAGAGAGAGAGAGGCAGATGAAGCCAACGAAGAAGAATACTACAGACGCCATCTCCCGTGGTGTTATCACTTTGAATTAGAAAAAGATTTCAACTCTGATCAGGTTTCAGAACAGCAACAAAAAACACAGAAACCCAAAGGCCCCCCAAGCCTTCGCCAGACACAGGAGATAAAGCTACACAGTAAACCCTAAACCCTAAACCCTAAACCCTAGTCCCTAGCAGCAAGCTTTCTCTCAACCCCGCCACAAAAACTAAAAAAGTTTTTGGTTTCTCTTTCTTGTACACTTGCAGAGGCCTGGGAGAGCGAGTTGCTGCGTTTGTATGAAGCAGCAGAAGGAGAGCTTCCTTCTCTTTTCGTAGGAACGGGAAAGCCAACGTAAGTTGCTGTTGCTGCTGCTGCTCGTGCTGCTGCTGCTGTTGTTGTTGCTGCTGCTAATGCTGCAGTTGTTCTGCTGTTGCACCTGATGCTGTCGTTGCTGCTGCGGTGATGCGTTCTCGGTATTTTGTTGGGGTGTATATCTCTGTTTTTGCTGCTGAAGCCAAACATATCCGCAGTGCTGTTGCTGCTGAAGCACCCTCAATCTGCTGCTGCTGCTGCTGCTGCTGCTGCTGCTGTTGCTCAGCCGACAGAAACATCCTAAGGATAAAACCATTCCCTATGCGCTTCTGAAACGTTACGGGGCCTTCATCGACTCCATCACCTCTTGCGGGTTGTTACAGCAGGTGAATCAACAGAACTCCTGCTGCAGCTGCAGCTGCAGCTGCTGCTGCTGCTGCTGCAGCTGCAGCTGCAGCTGCAGCTCTTCTGTATTAGCTATTACTGTGCTGTTGCTGCTGTTAGTGCTGCTGTTGCAACTACACTTTTAGCCGCTGCTGGTGCAGCCGGTAGCGATGACGATCGTTGCTAGGGGGCCCAAGACAGGGGCGCCAGCAGCAGCAGCAGCAGAGCGCAGACCGGCTAGCAACAGCAGCAACAGCAGCAGCAGCAGCAGCAGCAGCGTGTTTAAACTACTTGTATTTGTGCTGCTTGAACAGGAAGTGGAGAGGTATCTGCTAGAGGCAATAGGAAAGAAACCAGAGAAGAACATCCCCCACATGGAGCCACCAAAGGGGCCCCGGGTTAACCCCAATTATAATATAGATAAAGACAAGCTAGCAGCAGCAGCAAAAAAGCTGCATATACAGCCCGAAGAGCAGCCAAAAACTTTCGAAGCAATTGAGAAGAGGTCGAGACTGCCCCTTATAGAAGAAACCAAAACACTGGGCGGAGGAAGATACGTTGTTTAAGCAGCAGCAACACATGCTGCTGCTTATACTCTTGCTGCTGCTGCTGCTGTTGCTGCTGCTGTTGCTTTTCTCCTCCCTTTATCCAGTAGGAGGGTTGTTGAGAGGCAGTAGCTGTTGCAGCAGCGGCGGCAGCAGCAAGCCAGGAAAGGAATCGACAGTGCAGCAGCAGCAGCAGCAGCAAGAGCAGCAGCAGCAGCAGTAGCAGCAGCAGCGTCAGCTGTAGTTGCAGCGTATACGCGGAGTTTGAAAAAGAATAAACGTCAAATATGTTTATATATAAATAATTTTGTTAAATATACGCCAAGGAGACACGGAGACAGCGACAAGGTATGAGTTGTCTGCATTTGTGCAGCAGCAGCAAATACAGCAGCAGCAGCAGCAGTTGCTGCTGCTGCTGCTGTTTCTGCTGCAATGTGCGCCGCTGCATCTGCAGCTGCAGCGGATGTCTAAATGTTAAAGACTAAGACGGTGCTGCTGCTGCGGTGTCCCGCAGCAGAAGCTTATACTATATATATAGCATATATATATGCTGCTGCAACAATATATATATATATATATATATATATATATATATATATATATATATATATATATATATATATATATATGTTGCGGCGTTGCGGCAGCTCGACCAGCAGTAGAGCAGCTGCAGCAGCACCTACAGCTTGAGATGCAACAGCTGCAGCCGGTCCAGCAGCTGCAGCAGCATCTGCACCTGAAGCTGCAGCAGCTGCAGCAGCAGCAGCAGCAGCAGCAGTATGTGTTAGTGCTGAATACCCTGCTGCAGGTGCTGCACGAGGTCGTATGCTCTCGTGGTGAGAGACTGCAGCGCCTCCCAAATTTTTGTCTCCATAAAAGCTGCTGCTTGCAAAGGAGACAAATGCAGCTGAAACCGCCCCCTGCACACAAACCCTAAACCCTAAACCCTAAACCCTAAAACCTAAACCCTAAACCCTGAGTTTGGTGAGAAAGAGAGACGATGCGGGGAGGTTTAGGGTTTCAGGGGTTTGTGTGTGTGTACACCCCACAATCCCCCCCCCCCCC